CGAATCAGTGCCTTCTCCTTGCACCGGGAGCCTGAGGGTCTTCGCAATCTGACTGAGAAATTCAACGAAGCATCTAAAAGAATCAAGATTACAATGGATCACGATGCACCGTTGAGAATTCTTCGTGTTCGTGGAATGCAGGTCGACACAATCAACATATGTCTCCCTACGGTAGTATCAGATCAAGCAAAGTTTCATGCGGGAGTACCAGAACGTCACGGGGAATATCTGTTAAAGCTCATCCCGCAACTATACACAATGAGTAAGAAACACGTCCGTCACTTTCCGCGATCGTTCAACCACACGTTCTTCCTTGTGACAACAGCAGGCTTGACACGCGAGCACAGAGATGCCCGAATCGAGCCCCGGAAACATTATGAGTTTATCGAAAACCTCGCAGAAGAATGGACGAAATGCCAGTCAGCTCCGGACGACGCAGCTGCGGCAAGCTTCGCATCCTCACTGCTGTTGCCACACTGCTCAGACGAGAGCCCTTTCCATAGGCAATGCCGTCATGAACCAGATAATATACAGCGATTAGCTTGCTATTGGGATCGTTATATTTTCGCACTTCAGCGTCTGATGAACCGCCGCCTCTTCATCACTTCATCGGGCCATCTCGGTCTCGGTCCAGCAAGCATGATGTCCGGAGACACAGTCGCGATCTTGTTCGGCGGAAATGTTCCATATATCCTGCGACCTCTCGAGAACAAGCAATGGCACTTCGTCGGGGAATGCTACTTGGATGGGTACATGGATGGCGAAGCACTCGACAACGAGGGAGAAAATCCGTCTAACCATGAGTGGTTTGAGATGGTGTGAATCACATCCTATCGGCATCGCAAGACGATAAATTCACCCGGAAAACCTATGGAAAGTCATTGTTAGCTACAGTACAACATATCCTTACACGACCAACGCGGCATCAGGCTGTATAGCCATGGAAATTAAGCCAGGAACGTTCCTCTATAGTCAAACCTCGATTCTAAGGAGACATCACATTACATGCGATAATATATCGGAAGAAGCAAGAAACAAGGAGCAAGCGATCGGGTCAGGCTTGTGCTAGCCTCTTCTGCAGTAAAGCATGCAGCAAGACTGAACTTGGGTTCGCAGATGCTTTAGCGAGGCGAGCTAGAAGAAGGATGACGGGGACGAGGCAATTGTCAACGGCCTGCATCGTCGAAGCGTGATGATGGAATGAAGCTTTCTTCTTATGGCGACGAGACGCTTAGGATAATTTGATTGATGCACTTCTTGTTCCTTGACGCGCCATTCGCTATATTGATGGATCCTCAGTGTTAGCTTTGATGTTAGCAATTCTGTCCAATTCACAATCATTAAATGCGAAGACTGCTCAATGGGTATTTGACTTGTTCATTATTACCACGAAGCCCTCTCAAAGAGGCATTCGCACCACAGTACCTCCCCAGCAGGGTCAGCCCGTGTTATCCTATACGCGAATATTCAAACACATTATACACAAGCTCTTTGCCCGGTCCACATAACAGCTCTTATGACTTTCGTATCGGGGGTCATGTCTTGTCCGCCTTGAAATCGTACTGCTCGGCTTCGCTCCAACTTCGAATCAAAGGGGGTATCTTATGCCATGCCTTTGCCAGCTTGCCTCTGTGGTGGGTGTTAGGAGGTTGTATGGGGAAAGAATTGGGTGGCTGGGGAGGTTGGGATAACGTACCTTCTTGTTGATGAACATGGCAATGACGAGGATGGCGACGAGGAAAACAATGACGAAGACGACAATGACACCGGGCTCACGCTGGGCCCAGTTCTTGTCGCGCTTGGCGAGCTGGTGGAGAGCGTACTCGGCGCGAGCGGCGATGGGCATGCTGATGGCGGCCATTGTGTTTGTTTGTGGGTTTCTGGGGTGGAGATGTTAGAAAGGTTGTTCGTACGAGCAGCTGTGAAGACCTGGAAGGATTCCCGGAGCTGGAGAAGCACAGGCCAGACGCATTGGGCGCGTGCGATTCACACCCAAGAGAGGTCTCGAGCGTGAAGATCTTCGGCCAAGGCTTGTCGCGAGACTGGTCCCGATGGCGGTGATGCGATGCGATGCGACACGACGCGACAGGATGCGACAACGTGACGCGAACTCTCCCCGGCAGCTCCAGAACAAGGCGGCATTGAGCTTACATTTACGAATTGAATCGGTCCACTGTTTGAATATCGAGCTGAAGGGAGCTTTGTTTTGGCTGTTGATGGCAACGGAAGCTGGTCAGCGCGATCGGATCAAACCCACGGAAACGGTCGCTAGGCAGAGGGACTCGGCGATGTTTAATTGAAAGGCGCAGGTCGACAGCGATGCAGCATCAAAGAGTGAGAACGAGAAAGCTCTTAATAGCGAGAGGCTGAATGTCCGCTTTTAAATGCGCCGGCTCGCCGAAAATTTCTGCACAGTTGATGAGGCATTTTGTTTGGCCCCGGGTCCTAGCGGGTTGTCCGGGAGGCTCCAAGCTTGCAAGGGTGGGTGCAGCGTCGCTTCGGCCGGGGAATGGGCGCGGGCCTGGAGGGAGGGAGTAGGGAGCGGTACTTACGTCTGAGGCTCGTCCGAGTGGGTAATGGATAGTGGGCGCTGGGGGATGTTGGAGACTCGGGGCGAGGAGCAGCGTGAAGAGTAGATGAAGGTTGGGTCGGGCCTAGCAACCACCCGCGAGGGTTGAGGGAGCTAGGAGGGAGCTACCCAGTGCAGCCAATGGCGCGACATGCCATCATTTCGTCGTAGATGAGCCGACGATCGCAGCCTCACGTCGGAGATACTCACGTTCGGGGATGAGACTGCACGTGTAGTGATATTGAGTCACTATCTGCTAGTTGCCTGTCACAAGAAGAGCCGCTTTGGAGCTTCACCGGTCGTTGATACCAAGCCATCCACCGTAGCACTCCCAGCACTCCCCATGAACCTCTCGCTCGCGCCTCCACACAGTTGCCCAGGTGCGTCTGGCGCTGCAAGCCGCTGACGCTACTCGTCGGCTCCACTCAGTCAGCACCCCTGCCACCTCTAAACCGTTCTTGTGCCGCAGGAGCAGCAACGATGTCATCGTCCATTGCTTATCGTCCATGACTGATGAAGGCGGCGCGAACCCACCTTCACCCTCGGATATCTCGCCAGGGCCGTTTGACACCAGCCGAACCGTGGGCAGCATCAACCGGGCAACAGCAGGCCTAGCGCACCGGAGCCAAAAACAACGCACGTCAATAATGCCTCATTTCCAGACGCTGGCTTCGCGTCGACAGGGCGACGCGCTACGCCGATAGCGCCCAGGCAGACTGGAGACGCGTGGGGTGGCCTTGGTAGCTCAGTGCCGGGATCCTCACTAAGCTTCTGCTGTGCCTGTGCCCCCGCATCTTGGCGAAGCATGGCACACGAGCCCTACACGGCCTTTGAAACGCTGCAGAGCATCACCGTGTCACAGGCACCATCAGCAGAAGCAAGTCTCGCGAGCTGCACGCGCGCCTTGGAACGTCTGAGTTGTGCTGCCGCGTCCGCTATCGCGACGCTGACCGTACTGCCAATATTGTTGCTATCCGGGATCGTGGAATAGCGTCGCCACATGACTCGGCTCCCATGTGACCGCCGTCGCTGCTGGCATAAATCCTTATTCAGCCCATCATAACCACCGCAATGTGCAGCCAGCCATCGAGATATGCCGTCGCGCGCACCAGCTCCTCCACACTCGCGCTCAGCGGCAGCACCGCTCCGTGCAACACGGCCTGCGCCAGCAGCGGACTGCGTCTGCTCGGAAATAGTGTCGGCAATATCGCGTTCAGTGCTGTCCCGATGGTCTGTGGTTGCCCTGTCTGCCGTCAGCGCCTTCCACACCTACACCGCAATTACACGTACTAGACGACAGGTTCGGCGTCACCAGCCTCTGCACTACTCTCAAACTCCCGGGTGCCGTCTCTTCTTGCACCCCTTCCGACGACGCGTGTGGGAGATAGAGCCGCACTGGTAGATGTCTCAGGTTGACGCCTTGCGGGTTCAGCAGCTTCTGGTTGATGGGGTTGTACACCGCAAAGTCGTGGTTCTTCACTCCGCTCCAGAGCTGCGTGCTGTCTTCTTTGCTTAGAAACATGACTGTCTTTCCTGTTCCTGTCCTGAGGTAGTCGGCCTCCTTCACGCTGTGGATGAACAGGTCATGCATGTGCTTGTCGTCATTGTCAAGCTGAACCAGCTGTTCAGAAGGGAAGTCGGAGAAGTGTACTGTGAGTCGCCATGGTAAATGTTGACGCTCTTCCTCTGTACTCTCGATCTTGTGCGCTTGCTCAGCCTCTGTATCCGTGTCTGAGGGATACGCCGGCTCAGCGCCAGAGTAGAGGTCGTAGAGAAGACCCAGTGGATAATGCCATTTCAGCGGCACGTCTTCGTAGGATAACCATGCGTCTTTAGGCGTGACATCTGGGTAGATGAGGCTGCGTGCGAAGAAGGCATGTAGTTTGTGTATGAGTAGCCCGAGATACGATATCCGTGGAAATTGTATCTACCTCTAGTCAGCCATAGCTCATCCGATGTATCATCGCCAGACTATGTCGACACTGCACGTACTAAGTAAGGATCCGACTCGTCGTACGTCCGACAGTCGCCCTTGTGCAGGCGTATCTCGAGCGGAATACTCCCATTCCAAGTGCTCTGGCGCAATCTACTCGCAACGTCTCTCTCAGCCATGGGCGCGAAGCATCCGAGATGGCAGATTCGCCAGCCGCCGTTCTGGTAGCCTAGGCGCAGCTGAGCTGATGGATAGTGGGGTAGGTCGCTGCGCAGGCAAGGCGGAAGGCGCGTTGATGGCGGGGTATGCAGGGGGAGCTTGGGCCTGACGTGCAGGAAACCCTGGGTCTTTTCGCTCGTGCGTGCGTGCGTCTCTGCGACAACCCCAGACCGACTGTCGTAGGAAGATGGGCGCTGGTCGTGTCTTCTTCTCCACCCACAACGCATGTATGACGTGACGCCGTAGATGGGTGACTTACTTACGCACGACAGCTGGACCATGGATGTGGCACTGAGCCGCAAACGCTCGCGCCTGACTGTTGACGAGGACGAGGACGAGGTCCAGCGGAGGAGGGAGCCCTCGCCGGCTCTGCCGCCATTGGGCGATGCGCTGAAGAGGTCGAAGACGCAGTGCGAATTGGAAGAGCTAGATGTTATAAGTCGGGAAGAAGCATGGAGCGTGGATGTGGATGCGATACTGGGTAGCAGTACGCTCGCGACTCCTGTAGGCAGTATGCTGGAAGCGCATAATAACTGGGCAAGGTATAAGAAGCAGGCGTCAATAATTGTTTTGTGTGTGCAGGGGAATGTTCAAGTCCATTACGACCTGCTTTGGTAAGATCATCCTGAACCATTGCAAACCACTACTAACATCCCACAGCTCCGCTCTCCCAGACCTCTACGCGCTCTCGCCCTCTCTACAGCCCTTCGTCCTCTGCCACGACCCCTCGACACATAGACTCCCTTCTTCCGCGCCCTTTTCGTTACCCCTGATACAAGCCGCGACTCCCTCGAACAACCACTTCGTCCGCCTAGGCCTTCTACATCCCCTTGGTGGAGGCAAGTTCCCATTAGATGCACTCGTGGTTTTGGATAAGAAGGGCAGAAGGAGGCTAGTTCTACCATTTGGCTGGGGTGCTGGCAAGCATGCGGATACACCTGCCGGACGGAGTATACAGCTACGGTTGATGGCATTGCTGAGGAGCTGTGTCGCGATGCTAGAACAGGAACAATGAAAGCCCTTTTGCAGCTTACTTCGACGTTTGGACTGAGGAACCTGAGGTTGATTTGTGAGCAGGGACTGGCTCAAGATTTCTGCAAGCAACATGAAGGAGAATATGGCTATGCTTGTAGCATGCAGACACCCTATGGTATCACTGTTGGAATAGTATGAAGTAGCGTGATTGTTTTCAAGAAGTTTGACTAGGTGTGTAGTACTACCATGAACGCCAGACTCCTGCTATCCTTCCGGGTATCATCGCGAGACAGACTACCCAAGGACGCCTATTGCTGGAGAGGCTCCGCGAGAAGCAGAGTAATTCAAGAAAGGTGATGATATGAAGTGGAGACCACCTCGACGAAGCATGCATCTAACGGCCAACAGCCATCGCGTAGTCATCCTCCTTCAGTGCCTCGATGTAACGTTGAACGTCGCCCCTAACAGCGTGGACATAGTACGCCAGCCATCCTTTGGTAGAAAGCAACAGACTGCTGTACGCATAGTCTCCGGCGTATTTGGTTTCGTGAACGGCGATGTGAGTGGCGAAAGCGCACATGATCAGTTCATACTGAGGTATCGTCTTCGCCTGCTCGCAGAAGTCCGGGAGGAACAGCCCATGAATCCCACACAATTTCCTGAGCTCTTCAGACTCCAGTCCCTCTTCGCAGAGGGCTACCATCATGAACTGGAAAGCGGAGTTCTGGAGATACTGCATGTCCATTTCGATTGCACAGAAGTAGACTTGCAGGTGGAACTCTGTCTCTGATGTGCCGTAAGGAATTTCGTCGGGGAGCTTGTACTCTGGATCGAAGAGGGCGTCACACACGATTTCCACGACCGCAGGGCTGTACTTCCGGGTGGGGCACTCCGCGAGGTTTCCGGGCTTGATGAAAGTCAGTGAAGCACTCCAGGAAGATTACGAAAAACTTACATTGGCTGCAAGCCAGGTAGACAAAGACATTGCCAACTCCCCTGGTACGGCAATGCTAGTCAGACTATCATAAGTCGGGAGTGACAGGTCACGCTTCAGATGACTGCGGAATTCTTCGCGCCACCTACGGAGTGGTAAGTACCAAAAGAAACACAGGTTCAAGGTGGTGGGACTTAGACTTACATCTTGTGGTTCTCTTCGCGACCTGCCCGTTCCACTTCTTCAAAGGATAGATGACCGAAGAAAAGGCGCACCATGGTCATGTCAGCCCCCCTGCGACCCGGAATGGGCTCGTCGTTGTCGATGGTCACACTAGACATCGTGGTCGGTGGAGCAACTTCTTCTTTTGGTTGTGGAGGTTCGTCTTCGCTAGAAGTTATCACGCGAGGGTGATTTGGAACGATGCAGGTAGGCAGCGGAACTGAAGTAACCGCCCACCACAAATATTACCGCGATATGGCTGCTCAACTAGCGAACCTGGCAATGCAAGGGCGGCGTTCAAGGTGGTGGTGTATCGATATGACGTGTTCAACTTGGTGCTGCACATTCACTCTAACGGTTTGATTCTACGGAGCACGCACGATGGCAGCCGAACGGCCCTGCATCACACAAGGAACGCCTCCCGAAGATGGTAGCTGAGGAATTTCATTATGCGTACACTACGTATGCTCGATTTATCTCTGATGAACGCCTAGTCATGCTATCCTTCCGGGTATTATCATCTAAAGCACAGCCCGTGACGCCTACGCCTGGAATACCTCCGCTGCAAGCAGAGTCATGAAACAAGGAAGACGAGAAGCTTCAAGAAATACGGCCTCGTTGTGAACGTCTGTAAATGGGAACGTACAGACCACGAAAGACCACATATACTCATGAGCTGACACCCCATCGCTTACAAACATCGTTGTCGCTGCCACACCTCCTACTGCTCCTGCTTATCGGTGACTTCGACGTTGTCGAGATCCTTAGACGCGTCGATCATGGTGACATCCTCCTTCGTCTCGACTTCACCACCTCCAGTCTGTGGCAGACCAGACGGTACTTGGGCTGCGTTAGGGGCAGAGACATGGAGACCTTGAATGGCAGGAACGCTAGTCAGAGTATCCTGTTCTTGGAAGCTGAACTCTCCACGGCTGGTATCTAGGTCGATACTGTCCTCGGTCGAATCGATGAGGGATATGATGGTGGAATCACCGACATTCTCATCCGCTGAGATCCTGTGCGATGATGATGCGTCGAGTTCCTCCGTAGCGGTAGTGAATTCCGTGATAGTGGCGTCGCCTTCTTCGGTCGCGTCGTCGTTCTTGCTGTTGGTGTGCTCTTCACCTCCTCGATTACCGGCGGTCCGTGGGCGACGCCATCCAGGACCTTGCGGGCTGTTAGACGCATCGTGGGGAACGAAACTGTCATCTTCATGGTCTTCGACATATGCTTGGTTCTGGTTGCGCGAACTTGGGGTGTTGAAGAACGGACGAAAGGCCGGTTTCCGCTCGTCTTGTTCAGGGTTGGTAGCTCGGGTCTTTGAAGCTGATGTTTCCAGCGAAGTGTCCGGAAGCTTCCGCTTGTTGGACGCAGTCTTATGAGCGGGAGTGATGAGAAAGCTCCTCTCGGCCATCGCCTCGTACATTGCGTATCGCGGCGAGTGGCCTAGGAAGTCAAGGTACTTGCTACCGCCTTCTTTAAGCCAGCGAGACCTCTGCGATGCTCCGTATGTCGCGATCATACACAGGAATCCTTCGTCGATAGGCTCTGGTCGATCAAATAGCTTGTGCTTTTCCAGGACGTCCACAAATTGTTCGGCGGTCGGACGCTCTTGGCGGATGGTCGCTCGAATGTTCCGGAACGCGACTTTTTGAAGTACACTTGCTTTCAGATATGTCGCGCAAAGGTAAACTTTGACATGAAGCTCCGTCAGACTGCTCTCCACCTTCACAGTGATAGTGCCATCGTCAGAGTCCTTGGTCGCCTTCTTGAGGTGCTCCAATGTGTAATTCTCGAGCTTCTGCTGTTCATCCAGGTTGTATTCGGTCTTCATGAGATACTGCACCACCATCTCGACAACGATATACTCGAAACCATCGATTGAGACGATGGACTTGGTGTTTTGCGCATTTTGAAGCTGTCTGAACGTCAGTATACGCAGCCAACACAGCAAAAAGCGTCTACATCAAATATGTAGGATGTGCAAATCATACGCACCTCTTCCTTGATCTTGACCGACCCGCCGACAGCAAAGCATCGGGGTATGAGGCAAGACGCCTCACAACTGTCTCGATTGACGACGATCGTAACATCAGCCGGTGTTTCCTTGACTAGGTTGTCCCGCCACCTGCTTCTGTCAGCGACCCGGTTGTATACATGCTTCGTTGCCATACTCCTGGTAAGTCTCATGAGCCATTGGGGATGTCTTCGAAGCCGCTTGCTCCCCGCGCAAGATGCGCAGGAATTCCATATCGGCCCCGGGCATGTTGTCTATCCAAGTTGATGTCCAGGCGGGTATGTTTGGAGGCGTTGATGATACAGTTCCCAAGACGCGCAAGTAGGATGGTGGGGGGACTGGACAGTGTAAATATACTGGCCAAAGTTGGCGCTAGTAGATATCACGTGCAGTGGCGTCAGGTGCGCTGCTTTGTGTCAGTGAAAGGGTAGAAACAGCCTGTTTGCTATTTGCTAGTGATACTTCGGCGCACCCCAGCTAGCTTTTCTACGAAATACCAGCGCTTGAATATGGTCATGGATAACAATCTCCCGTCGACATATCGTAAACGCAGGACATCGGTGTCGGAGCTATCGACACTATCAGTCAGTGAATTTCCACCGGCTGTTATGTATTCGCCGCCAGAGAACGAAGTGCGCAAGATTGTCAGCAGTCAAAGAGGTAAGTCGCAAAGCAGCCCGTATGCGAATGCAAATACTTACCCAGCAGACTCGCAACTATCAAGTTCGGTCGCTCCAACTGAAGATGTAGTGTACGATATTACATCTAACTCAGTTGATGGCGACAGCGGAAAAGCTTCAACAACTGGTAAGTCATTATAGGGGATGTAAGAATGATGTCACTGATGCGTTGGAAGGCCATATTCCCGCCCGCACAGATGGTGCTCAGATATCCTTGCAGTCTCAAAATACTCTCTTAGAACATGTCTTCAAAGGGACATCCCTTAAGTTACCACATCCGCAGTTCGTCTGCGCCCGGTAAGCATCGGATAAAAGTACGACTAAGTATCCGCTGATATAATGAAGACGTGACCGGATTGTTCTCGAAAGGCGGATCGGATGCGACTTTACGCTGGTCGTAAATGGTGTACAATTTTACGTCCACTCGGCCTTTCTCATCGGCGGATCGCAAGTACTGGAGGACTATATGTTCCCCACCAAGGTAAGCGTGGAAGTCGGATTCAACAGCGTAGTCTCAAATACTCACATTGTTCCAGAGCACATCTGAGCCTCCTACCAGAGAATACGAATTCGACGCACAAATCCACAGCCCCATCATGGTCGACCGCCTCATCGAGTTCATATATACCGGAACATACACACTCGATCAGGGCGGACGAGCGACATTACTGCGTCACCACAGTAAGCTGCCTAGAGGCCTGACAAGCGCGAGCTATCCCATGAATCTGGAGAGCGCATTGGAATTTCACTTGAAGATGTACAACATGGGAAAGAACCTGCAGTATCAGTCCTTAGTGGCCATCTCGCACACGAAGATGGCAGAGGCCATGCTGTGGACGAGCAAGCTCGGAGTAGGAGTGGGAATTGTGAAGAAATTCGTGACTTGGGCATACGATCCGGCTCAGAATGTCCAGGACACAGACGAACGTGCGAACGACACCTTCGGGGATGACAGCTTGAAAGAGCTGGTAGTGGCGTGCGTCCTGCGACACATCCATCAAGAGCTCTGGGATGAGAGTGCGATAGCAGACTTCCGAGACTATGTCAAGGGATTCCCTGCTTTAGAGGTAGACGGCGAGCTTGCTGAAGAGGAGTACAAGGACTTGCTGAAGACGCGACCTGGCGCCAAGAGGGCGATGAAGAGGGCAAGGCGAGGACAGCAACATTAGCGTGAGGATGCGAACATGCCTCAGCTCTTGGAGGATTCTCGCCATCTGCGGAAATGGTTATAGCATCGGAAGCTGCGAGTTTCCGCATCTCGTCTTACAGTTCCGATACTTCCGGGTGAGGAAGCCACGAGGTAAGCATCCGTGAAGAGCACCTGGGCAGTATGACGGCAGTCTGAAAGACAGGCTGCAAGGCCATTTGCAGAGCGTTAGAGCGTGTATTCGATCGACACCGTAACATAGCCGTAGAAAATTTCCCCAATGGCCGTGTTGCTGAGATGAAGCGTGATGCGTGGATGCAGGAGGTGTGAGGGACGTCTCCGTGAGGGTGGCTGGCGACTAGCGTGCTTCCCCACCCTGTCGCGATGGCATTCGTGGACGCGTCTTTGAACGGTTGATCACCTCTCCGATGAACATGTGAATCTCCACGCCGACCATCAATTGAAATGAGAACTGACAATGACAGCTTCCTTTCGTGATACGGAGGCCCGAAAGTCGCGCGCAGAGATGCCATTCTTTCCGCTGCAACGCTGTAGTATGTGTAGAGTGTAAATTAATGTATAAGTCTAACAAGCTAACTAAGATAGAATAGGCCTACTATATACCTAGTATATGCTATTCTTAGTAGTTATATAATAAGTTTTATTTCTAGTATAAGATAAAAGAAAGAAACTACCTAAACTAAAGACTATAAAGAGAACTCTAGCGTAGTTATATATTTTCTAGAAGCCTAGTATAAAGTATTATAAGTCTAAAGTCTCTTCTATATACTTATAAAGAAAAGAAAGTAATACTTTTTATTAGTAAACTAATTCTATAGCGTAAACTAGTCTAAAAAGAGTAAGGTTTATTACTAGTATATAAAAAAACGTATTTTTAAAAAAGTTAAAATCTTATATTTAAAGGTGTAGGTATTAAGTAGACTAAAGCTTAGGTTTTTAGTACTACTACTTTTAGCGTAGTTAAAGCTTTTAAAATTTAAAGTAGTAAAGTAACTATTTTATAAATACTAATGTTTACTTATAGTAAAAAGAATTATAATATAATTATATATTCTTAATAGCTTATAACTAATAAAGCTATAAATTATAAAGTAATAAAATACTAAATTTTTTAGTAAGTAAAATTATACTTCTACTATATATACACTTTCTATTTTTATTCTACTACTTATAATAAATTAAAGATTTAAAAACTTATTAAAGACGTAAATAGTAGCTTAAATTTAATACTAAAGCTATACTAGTATACTAAATAAGCTCTAACTACGTCTCTACTTATACTTCTTTTATAAGTCTTCTTAGCGTTAGTAAGTCTAAAGCTAATTTTATTACTAGTTATATTACTTTACTACTATACTAAAGCTTAATTAAGCTTTTTTATTATTACTATATTAATTACTTTTCTCTTAAACGCGCTACTACTTCTATAAGTTCTTTTAAAGTTATTATTCTAGAAGCTATTATAGAAGCTATTATAAACTACTTTATTTATACTATACTAGAAGCTGTTATAAGCGCTTTAAAAAGCTACTTTGCTAGTACTTTAGAGCTATACGCTAGGCTTATTAATATTTCTATTATACTTATTCTTATTATACCTATCTCTATTATATTTATTTCTTTTACTTTTATTTTTATTATTTTTATTACGTATATAACTAGCGTAAGACTTTTTATTATTCTTTCTTTTAGTTTTACTTTTAAGAAGCTTATTAGTAAAATATATAAGCTTTTTAGTAAATATAGTTTACTTTTAAGATAATAGAAAAAGTATTTTATTTATAATCTTACTAGAATATGTCTAATTACTTACGCTATCTATATCTATAACTAGGTATATAAAGTAAAATTAATATTAAGCTTATAGCTCTCTCTAGCTTTTAAGAATACTATACTTTAGTAAAGAAATATCTTAGCTAGAATACTTTATAAAAGTAATAAAAGCTAAAATAATAAAAATATAGCGTTTATAGCTTATCTTATATAGTAAGATACTATTTACTAGATAGTAGATATAATAGACTACTATAAGTTCTATTAATACCTAGAGAAATAGTTATTATATTATAGTTATTAGAGAATATATACTATAAAGCTATTAAGTACTAGTATTTACGTTACTACTATATTATCTTAGTAGTTCTTAATTACTATCTAAGCTTCTAGAAGTTATATAAATAAGAGTAGTGTTAGTTAGAAGCCTTAGTACTAATAGTAATATACTCTAAGTTTATTAAAATCTGCTAGTAGTTCTAAGACTAATAGCTAAGCGTTTTTTAATATTTTTTTATTAAATAAAGTTTATAAAATTAGGTATAAGGTACTAAAAAGTAATACTTACTTTAAAAAAAAGAAAATAAATAATATAAGAGGTTGTAAAACCTTTATAAAGTAAAATTATACTTATAAAATATTCTCTATACCTTTATATAAAGCTAATATTTTTTAGTAAAAGTAGTAAATAAACTTAGAATTTATTATTATAGCTACTATAAAACTTAGTAGCGCTAATAAGCGTTTTATAGTTATTAATAAATATCTAAAAAAGAAAAAGCCTTTTATAAACTATTACTAGGTAATATAAGTAGAAAAAGTAAGAGATATATTATTCTATTATAAAGAAATATATAAAGTAAAAGGTAAAACTATTACTAATATATAAAAAGAGAAAACTTTTTATACTAGATAGAGAAGTAAGACTAGAAGCTAAGAGTAAAAAAACGTAGTAAGAAAAATAGATAGTATTCTTACTATACATTATATAAGCTAAAAAGAAAAGCTAATATAAAAACTTTTAGTAAAGTATAGATATAGTAATAAATCTACTAGAGTAATATAAATAGTTAAGATTAATAGTTATTAAGCTATAAAGTAGAGAAGACTTAGAAAGAATCTTTAGTGTAGTTATTTACTAGGCTATAAAACGCGTTTATATTTCTAGTAAATTTATCTATAGTAGCTATAGTAATATTCTTAATCTTTTAATTAGTAAGATCTTTCTCTATAAAGATATTATCTCTAGCGTAGTTACTAGCTATAGTTTCTAAAGAACTATTACGTACTAGAGTTATAGTAGTAGTAGTAGTAGAATCTATAGTATTAGCGTTAGATAATAGAATTATAGCTATAGTCTTTTACTTCTTAGTCTTCTACTTTATTTTACTACTAGGCTTAGTAGCCTTTAGCTTAGCAGTTAGCCTAGACTAAAAGTACTTAGTAGTGTTAGTAACGTAGAGGCTTATAGTCTTAGGCTTAGACTTAGTACCTTAAGTAGAAGTAATAGTATTATACTATAGCTTATAGTTTCTATTACTATTTTTTTTTTTAAGAAAGTTAATATTTTCTTTCTTAAGAGCTATAGAAGTATTATAGACCTAAGTAGTTAATATATTCTAAGTATTCTTATAGCGCTATTTATTCTTTATAAGAATATTAAAGAAGTTATTCTTATCTTTCTCTTTAGAAAGAGCACTAAAAGTATTAATACTATTAAGGTTATATCTATTATTTTTATCTACCTTAGAAATCTTTCTCTTACGCTGCTAGATTATACCTAAAGTCTTTACTTATTCTTTAGCTTCTCTTCTAGTCTTCTTCTTTTAGTATATAGTTTTAAGCTAGAGAAAGACATCTTAGATTTTACTAGAAGTATAGTAGATAATACTAAAGAATTAATCTTTTAGTATAAGATATATACTAGTATAGATAGAATTAAAGTATTAAAGTATTTCTTAATTTATGCTATAGATCTTAAGGTACTTAATACTAAGCTATATAGTTCTATATTTATTAATAAAGAATCTACTATTAATTTACTAAATATATATATTATCTAGTAGGTTAAAGTCTATTATAACTCTACTCTACTTAAGAATAATATATTTACCTTTTTTATTAAGCTCTTAAATAGTTTTACTTTTATTAATCTTTTTATTCTTAAACTTAAATTAGATAGTCTAGTAGGTTTAGTAGAAGTTTACTAAGGTAGAGTTATAGTATTAGCTACTAGCTATAATCTCTTTAGTATAGTAGAAAGAATAAGCCTAAGCAAAATTAATATTAGATATAGTCTTCTTTTATTTATTAGTAAAGAAGATAGCTATTAGTAGAGTCTAGTAGTTAACCTTATTAATAAGATCTTAAGATTTTTAGCGTAGCTTAGAGGCTTTAGAGTTTTTCTTTAAGTAGAAGTAGGCTTTATTAGTATTAGAAGGTTTAGTCTTTATCTTATCTTTAAGAATACTATAGGTCTTATATATAGTAAAGTGCTTATTTATACTAGCTTTAATCTCTAGTAGATTTATCTAGTTTAAGTAGGCTAGAGTTAGTATATAGATAGTAAGCTTATTAACATTCTAGATATACTAGTAGTTCTTATCTAATATATATACTATAGTAGCTTCTATAGACTTACTAGGCTAAATAACTTAGTAACTATATAAGATAAAACTATTAGCTATACGCTTAGCAACTTATTAGTTCTATATATAGTTAGTATTCTTTCTAAACTTAAAAAGCTACTCTAAGTATATCTTAAAGTTATTATTTATACGCTAGAGATACTTACTAAAGTTAGTAAAAATATTAAAGTTAAGTACACTACGTTAAGGTTCTACTTTCTTAAGATAATAAAGTATAGTATTAGTAGAGAAAAAAACTCTTATATTAAATAACTACCTCTTAATATACTTAGAGTTCTAGATAGATATTCTAGTAGTAGCGCTTTTTCTATTAGTAAAGTTAGAAAGTACTTACTATACTTTATTAAGGTAGTATATAATTACTCTACTAGAATCTTAGATATAGCTACTTACGTTATTATTAGTAGATAGGTAGTTTATTAGTAAGGCGTGTTAAGTAAAAGTAGTTATAGTACTTATTAAGCTATAAACTTATATAATATCTTATATAGAAAGAGTAATAGTTACTAGGCTCTTAGAATATAAACTAATATTAGAAAAACTATCTAAAGTTACTAAAAGCTATAGTAAGGCTTTAGCT